TTTACCTGGTTCAGATAAATCGCCCCTAGATTTGTTCTGATTCTTTCCAGACCTCTTCCGGTTCAATTTAAGTCTCTTAATGGTTTATCCTGATTCTTTCTCGTAGACATTTTCTCCGGTTCAGATAAACCGCTCTAAGATTTATTCTGATTCTTTCTAGACCTCTACTGGTTCAGTTTAAATCTCTCAACAGTTTATCCTGATTCTTTCCCGTAGACATTTTCTCTGGTTCAGATAAATCGCCCCAAGATTCGTTCTAATTATTTCCAGACCTCTGTCGGTTCAGTTTAAATCTCTCAATGGTTTATCCTGATTCTTTCTCGTAGACATTTTCTCTGGTTCAGATAAACTGCTCCAAGATTTATTCTGATTCTTTCCAGACCTCTGCTAGTTCAGTTTAAATCTCTCAACAGTTTATCCTGATTCTTTCTGGTAGACATTTTCTCTGGTTTAGATAAATCTGCCCCAAGATTTGTTCTGATACTTCCCATACCTCTGTCGATTCAGTTTAAATCTCTCAACAATTTATCCTGATTCTTTCTGGTAGACATTTTCTCTGGTTCAGATAAATTGCCCCAAGATTTATTCTGATTCTTTTCCAGTTGAAATCAAGTTTAGACTTAGTCTAATTTCTGTCAACAATCACCTTTGGATGGCATCTATAAGCCCATCTTCGATAACTCTCTATCATCTTACCGAATGGCATCTTTAAGCCCATTCTGTACATAATCAACCACCACATCATCAAGTGCAAATTTCTGGGCACTCTAGTGTTTAATCATCTTCCACCTTCAAGTCACGAATGACAGATTCGCCAATCTAACTCTTCAGATGTAAGAAGATTGAACAGGGGCAGCTGTTGTACCCCAAAATTTTCCCTCTCATTTTCTCAAGATTTCTCTCGCATGTGTGATTACAAAAACATGTTTAAAGAAATAAAGAAAATGTAAAATTTTGAAGATGTTAATGTGCCTTTCGATTAGGTAAAAAAAGAAACAAGTTGGCTTCGATTTAACAAGTTTCAAACTGGCCATATGTTTTCCTTCAAAGTAACCCCCTTCGATCCACAAGTTGGGAAGCCTCTTTAGATTTACAAGCTGGGAAGCCTCTTTAGATTTACAAGCTGGGCATCTTTCTTCGATTTACAAGCTAGGCAGCTTCCTTCAATTTATAAGTTGGGGCAATTAAACCCTTCAATTCAACATACTTAGATCACACCTCTAAAACTCTTCAACAATATGGATCATAGTTAGTGGATTTGAAGGACCTATAATGGGTCCATTCGAAGAGCACACATTGTTGGAAATGAACGTTGCTGTATGATGATGAGTCTGGTCGAAGTGATCAAAATGAAAGGGTGGAGTATTCAAGGTGTTTGTTGACCAAAGTCCTGTATACTGCCAAACCCAAGCCAGCTGTGATGCTATGCAATAGTCCTGCACCAACCTACCACAACACTCCAAATACTGCTGAGCATACATTGTCTCAGTCCCATACTTACACAAAAAAGGGTACATAAGATCTGCATCAAAGAAAACAGGGAGGCAGTATACCCAAACAGTTCAAATGCCATTTGATTTCCCCCTAAAACCACATCAAAGCTCACCTATAAATAAAAGGATTCGCAACATGTTCAGGGAGGATTTTTTGGACCAGAGGAACGAAACCTCCAAAATCTTCTCAAACACAACAATAAAGCTCTCAAGTCCTTAAACACTTGTGAAATCAAAAAACCCAGAATCCCATTTTTCACCTCTTTCGATTCTGAAGAACAGCTCCACACTTCATTCTCCTTCGAATCCAGTGGAAAGAATCATCACACTTGCTTTCTTTCCTCCTTCGAATCCAGTATCCAAGGCCTAGCTTCAGGACCCTCCCTTCGAATCCAAGAGAACCCAGGGCCACCACTCAAGGTCCACTTCACCTTCAAGGCTGCAGCAAGGTAAGTTACTCTTACCCTTACATCTTTCGTTTCAAACATAGCATGTATATAATATTTTTCTCCTTTTCGTTTATACCCTTTTAATTTGTTTTTATGGCTAATCCTTTTGTTTCTTGTTTCTTGAGTTATTAAATATACTTTAAGAATTAATTTGGCCACCAGACAAATGCCAACATGGCCTTAGGCCATGTTGTTATTTAATATCCCAAACGAAAGAAACAGGAGGAAAGAAACAAGAAACGAAGCCTTGGGCTTCCATGCTGACCTCCAAGGCAGAAAGGAAGAATCATAAGATATGCCTACACTGGTGCCAGCCCCCAGTTGAAGGAGGCAGAAAGGAAAATCGAAGGGCATGACTTACTGATTCCAGGCCCAATCGAAGAAGGCAAGAAGGCAGAAAGGCAGAACCAGAAGGCGCGCCCTACTGACTTCCAATGCCCAATCGAAAGCCATGACCTGCTGGTGCCAATTCCTAATCGAAGGCCATGACTTGCTGGTGCCAACTCCCAATCGAAGAAGGCCAACCGAAGCAGAATCGAAGGATTCTCCTCCCCCAAATCGAAAGTGCTAATTTTCCTTCTTTTTATTTTATTTTTTCCTTTATATTTTTATGCACTTCAATATGGTTGTAATAGTGTAGGATTTATTTTCTGCATTTTTTATTACTTTTGTACAAATGCTAGTAATTAGGTGTGTATGGAAAGATAAAACCAACAAGTAGACAACCCAAAAATCAAAGACAAAATGTATGCAATCAAACGCAATTTGAACACATGCACCCTTAGGGTAATCTCACTTGTTGCCTCGGAAAAATAGTCATTTCCCTCAAATATGGGCATTTTAGCAAAGACCCTCGATAAAAGACCGTAGTCCCACGATGACCCTCGATGTTGCCTTCGATAAATGATCTAGTCCTTAAACGACATTGCTAAAACGTCCCATAGGTTGCCTTCTATGACTATACAAATGTCCCGCGCCCGTCCCTTCACATCCAACGACGGGGCTTCTTACCAAATCAATGGTAAGATAGCAACATCTAAAGCAGGAGGAAAAGAACATCTAAGAACTTTTGAGTAGGTAGATTGCTCCTAGTTGCTCGCTTGCTCACAACATCAAAAAAACATTTTATACACCCACACTTTAATTTTGAAACATTTTCAAAAGGTAACACTCTGTATGCATTCTTATAAAGACGAGAACCATTACAAAGACACCTTTTCAAAACCATTTTCAAAAACACATTCCACAAACACATTCCACAAACACTTCTTTGAACTATTTTCCAAACAACACTTTGTACGCGTTCTTATAGAAACGAGAACGATTATAAATATGTTTTCAAAATACTTTCAAAACCCACACCACAAGCACATTTTCAAACAAAAAGCAAGCGATTTAGCAAGCAACTAAGAGCCCATAGATAACTACGGATGAAAAGGGTTCTAATACCTTCCCTTTTCATAATCTACCCCCCGAACTCAGAAATAATCTCGAAGGGTCTTTTCTGTTCTTTTCAACCTTTCCTTATTGGATAAAAGAAAAGTCGGTGGAGACTCTTGCTATCCTCAACAATTGCAATCAAACACAAAACACCCAATTCAGTTCTCCCGTCGCGTTACAGACGCTAATCTCACTTCCAAGTTTAATATAATTAAATAGGGGTAGTTGTCATAACCTAAATTTGTCTCACCTTTTCGCTTTTATCTGGGTTAGGCTTTTCATTTCATTTGCATAATTTTCGCTAGGTCATTTGCATATCATTCCTTCATTCAAGAAACCAGTTGTTCAAAGCATCAGTGGTTATGCCATCCGTGGTTTATTTTTGGTTCGAGGTTCTTACATCAACAAGTCTAATTCCTATGGTTCTTCTTTGAGAAGTGGGTTGCGAATTAGTATTTGGAAACTTGATTATCATGGATTCTTTCTTTTCAAGCTACAAAGGTCATTCCCCTTTTCTCAACATCAAGGTTGGCTTCAGGATCTTATATTAGGGTTTACTTCCCTATGTTAGATCGAAGATTAGGGTTTTTAGCTATTGTACTCCAACTAAGTTTCTTATTGAGAAATCATCAAGCATGAGCTAAGGCTTTGGATTTTTTTCAACATCTCAATATCAATATTTCGTCAAGAGGCTTTAAGAAGCGATCAAATTAGGTTTTCTTTGGCATATTCTTTAATTAATTGAGGTTTGGTTTGCAAGGTATCATAGCTTGAGATTCAATCATGAGATTAGGTTTTATTGATCAAGCATGGCATATGAGTGTTCAATTTGGATCCAATGACTATGAAGTTTTAGGCAAAAGTTCAATTTTAATTCTATCTTTATCATTGGGGACGACGACCAATAGTTCATGTTTACAAAACATTGGAAGAAATAAACTTTTAACTTTGAAGAAAGCAAGATTGGAATTCAAGAATCATAGTTGTATTTAAATCTTATCAAATTTCATCCATGGCCATATTCATCACATTCCATCAATGTTCATTCGATTACAATCAGGAGAATTCATCAAGATTCATTTTCAAGTTCCAAGTATCTTCGCACTATTTCATTCTTTGGAATGATCACTCGTTACAAAAGTACAAGGTTGGCACAAAACTATCATGTGAGAAGATTACAATCAAGATATATACGGTGGCCCTGTTACATTTTGATCAAGAACCTCAAAGATTAGTTGGTGTTTATGATATGCTTAGGATTAAGTGTTATTCCAAAGAGGCACTTAATTGAGACAAAGAAAAGGGATACATGCTCAGAGAAGGAAAATTTCATCAAACTTCGAGATTTGTACACGTTGTTGTTAATATACAAGTTATTACAAGATTACAAGAGCTACTACAATAATTACATGAGAATAAGAAAAATAGGAAGTTCTTAACCAAGCCTATTGATTTATGAGTCACCTATCATAAAGCTTTGTTTCAAGCTTGTTCTTCAGGCCTTCTCTATTTGCCTTACTTCAAACCTTGCACCATAAGGACATTCCAAACCCTTCCAAATTCTGCTACAGCCAAAACCAGCCTTGTTTCTCCTATACGTACCTGCTCTTAACACAAGTCAAAACCTGTTACACCCTTTGTCGAGCCTTCCATAAAACTTGCTATTAAAACAGTCAAAACCAGACAAAAATAGCCCTGCGAAAACAACTTGCAATACTGTCCAAAACCTGTCCAAATGCCCTGCATTCAAAGCAGTCCTATGCTGCCTACAACAATCCAAATTCAGCCCCGCATAACCTATACATATAAGTCCAAAAACATGTAAAACCATATTTGCTTTCCTATATCAAAGAATTGCAAAAAATGTATCAAACTATTCTTGCATCAAGAAAGCAAGAAACATTTCTTTTCACTATAAAACAAACACAAAAACACACAGAAAAGGGGTAGAGAAGGGACACCAAGAAATCTCTCTGAATACCCCTGCTCTCATAAACCAAAAACACCCGCCAGAAATTGAAAAGCACACAACAATACCAAATAGTCATCATATCCAAGCATCAACCGGGTTTCAAATTGAAAGTAGAAGAAGAAGAATTCACAGAAGAATAAAAGAGGACCATACCTGAAGCAGTACCACTAAAATTGTCAAAGCTCCCACTAGTTTTCCCTTCTCTTTCATTTTATTCTTGATGCTTACATTATGAAAAGGGTATGGGATTTGCTGGGAATGGGGCTTATGTTATAGAATGATTTTCTTCTTTCTTTTGGCTCTTTTTTTCATGTACTTTTATAATAATTTAAGTAATATAGTTACATTACTAAGTTTATCTGAGAAAGGGAAGAGAGAAAACACCGAAAAATATCACTAAATAAATACTCTCTCTGCAAAAGACACAAAATTTACTGCATAATCTCCATCAACTTTCTGCTAAAACCGCAGACTCCCTATTATCACTCAACCTCACTCTAATCACAACCATACTCATAAATATGATCCTTCATACAAACTTCCCTTAACCTTCACTAAACCTGCTCACCAACCAACCTTCCACTCACTGCATCATAAACCCAAAACCATGCACTTCATCCAACCTCACATAACTTCTAAACCGCTCTCTCAGACTCTTAATTCACAGACCATCATAATGTTCAGAACCTGCAATGCATCAAACAGTGACTCGATAGGAAATTGACACAACACTTGCATAAATTAATCGCAGTCACATTCACACTATCAATACCCTTACCTTCCCTTAAATCTGCAACATATCAACACTAGCCTAACCATTGTTACCTTCACCCTCACAAATCGTGACCTTGCAATAGAACCTAACTCTGCAACTTTCGAACCACCCAACCCTCTACTCTATTTCACGCAAAACAACAACAGACATAGAGCAGAAATGTTAGAAGAATAAGAGATTTGAAGTCAGCATACCTGAAGAAGCTTTGAACGGAGCCTCCGTCGTCTTCGTGAAGGTACGTGGTTTCGCTCATTTTTGACACCACTGTGTAGAGAAGACTTCTTTGAACATTCCCCCCATAGGCTTGATAAGAAATTACACTTCATCACCATTTGATTGAGATTCTAAGACTTCTAGGGTTGGCTTTTGATGTATATTTAGGAGGTTTAAGGAATGATATGAGGAAATGAATTTGAGAATTGAGAAAGAGAGTGAAGGCGATGAGTTTGAGAAAGATGGAAGAGAGACCAAGAACGACTGGTAGAGAGAGGCGTGAATATATTGGAAGAGGGAGTGAATCGTGTTTTTCTTTATCCAAAATTTTGTTTAATTGCTTTTTTATTGTGATTAAATTAAAATAGTTAATTAGGGACCATTCCCAAAGTTAGACGTGGCCGTTTTACTAACAGTATTAGGGTTTCTTTTGACAGTTTCAAATTCCCTTGAAACTTCTAATTGGGCCTAATCCAGTCCGGGTTCTCCAATTGGGCTCAATTCTTTATTTTGTTTTACTTTTTATTGTTTTTGAACTGTAACATAACAAATGAGGAAGCATGAAGCAGTGGTAAGAATTTAGAGTTATGTTCTTAGGTTCAACACCCATAGAGACCATTTTTTTTTACCTTTTTTTTCATTCTCTTTGTTCTAGCTTCTAAATTTTATTCATGTTTGTTTATTTAAATTTCTTCTTTAAATAAATAACTAGAATTTAATCTTATTTTATTTCATTTTTTCGTTACACAAAAGAATTAAAAATATTAGAATGTTTTAGATTTAGGTTTTAATTTCCTTTTGAATTTAATGTCTTTAACACGAAAAACCCCGAAAATGTTATATATTTCTTTTATTTTAGGTTGATTGATTTATTATTGATAACATGTCCCCTTAAGAATTCCATTATACGATTAAACTTTATTTGGATCGTTTTAATGTTGAATTAGATATTAGGTTTTAAACCTCAGCATGATAAATTTTAGGATATAGTTTTCCTTTTAATTTCATGATAACACTAGGTAATTCGCTTAAACTTAACCCTAGGTCAAACTTCGCATGCAAACTTAGGTAGATTTTCTCCCTTCATTTCAACTTTAAGTCTAAACCTTGTACGACAACAATTAGGTTTTTGTAGTCTCCCTTTAGACTTTTTCTTCTTTTGTGAATCAAAACTAAAACTTCTTTCATTTATAAAAAAATTTAAAACACTTAATCATTATTCAAACCCATTTCACACTTAACAAAAATACTCAACAAATCAAAGATCTCCTCAAAAGGGCATGTTATCTCCGTTCTACCGCGATACCGGTCATGCCTATTGCTAGAATATGTGCGTTAACGTCTCCCACTAAAAAACACCAACAAACCAACATTTTCTAGAAGAACTACGGTGTTCTAATTCCTTATTGGGATACATAGGAAAAGGGTTGCGAGACCCTCACGAACGCACTAATAAAACCCACTTCATTTCCCTTAACAAGTATAGTTTTAGATAGACACACCCTTAGAAGCAAACAATTAAAATGGATCCCGTTGATTACAACATATGGGAGGGGTGCTAATACCTTCCCCTTGCATTATCGATTTTCATACCCTCTCTTTTGGTTGCAAGACCATGTTATCCATTATCTTGGGGTTTTCTCGATATTTCCCCTTCCTTCGGGATAAATAAAGTTCGGTGGTGGCTCTGTGTTTTTTTGTCGGTCGCTTCAATGCTTACCAACTAAGACGCACTCAATTAAAATATGAGCTCAGCACTATCCATTCTTTGTATTATCACTATAACTACCTCAGTTGAGAATAAACACCACCATCGAAGGTACGAATATCAAAATGTTACTAGGCAGCTTGCCTACGATTCATATCCAAGGCATAATCATCACCAGCCTCCGAGCATTATACCTTCAATTATCAAATTCAAACTTTTCAAATTCAAACCTTTCAAACATTCAACTTCATTTGGTTATCAGACCTTAGTTTAAAACAGACACGACCGACATCATCATCGACACTTCGGTTCCAATCTCAAATTCTTCATGCTAATCAAATCTTGGTTGAGAACAGACACAACTGATAAACTCCGATCTTATCTTTGGTTTAGTTATCTAAGATTCAATTATTAAACCACTTTTCAAATATATATCCTCTAGGTTGTGGTAGATATGTGAATTATCAAGGTTATATTATTTATCCTCTAGGTCGTGATAAATACATAATCCTATTCTCGTGTCATTTATCCTCTAGGTCGTGATAAATGCACAAACTTTTCAATTATTTATCCTCTAGGTTGTGGTAGATATGAAAATTATCAAAGTTATGCTATTTATCCTCTAGATCATAATAAATACATAATCCTATCCTCGTGTCATTTATCCTTTAGATCGTGATAAATGCACAAACTTTTCAATCTTCTATCCTCTAGGTTGTGGTAGGTGTGTGAATTATCGGGTTTATGTTATTCATTCTCTAGGTCGTAATGAATGCATAAGTCTACTCCCGTGTCGTTTATCCTCTAGGTCGTGATAAATGCACAAACTTTTCAATCATCTATCTCCTAGGTTGTAGTAGGTGTGCGAATTATCAGGTTTATATTATTCATTCTATAGGTCGTAATGAATACATAAATCTATCTTCGTATCGTTTATCCTCTAGACCGTGATAAACACACAAAATTTTAAAATTATTTATTCCGTAGGTTGTGATAGGTATGCGAATTTTCAGGGTTATACTATCCATCCTCTAGGCCGTGATGAATACATAAGCATATCCATGTGTCATTTATCCTCTAGGTCGTGATAAGTGCACAAGTTCATCCTCGTATTGTTTACTCTCTAGGTTGTAGTAAACATAACGAAATTTACGGTATGATTCATTGTGTCAGTCTCCATACGAAAATGTGTTATCAAGCTCTGTTTTATTCATCCCCTAGGCTGTGATGAATAGACAAAATATGCATTATAAACTTACTATATTAGTCTCAAAGCGTTAGTAAGTCAACTTTCAAAATTGTATTATTTACCTCCTAGGTTATGGTGAGTAGCGAAAAATCTACGATCTTTTTTAGATATTGACGACTTATCCGCGTCTCATATCTAAGCCAAATCAAAAACTCTTCGTTCAAACTCTGATAAGATGATACATTATCATTTGTGCCTATTTTCTCTACGCTCATAGGAAACGATGTACAGTGTATCTTTATAATCTTGTGGTCAAATTTTGGGGTCTTCCATTAATTAATAACCCTCCGATCCGAACGTGCGAGAATTGCGCCCTCTTGCACGCTTTAATCGAAGAGTAATTAAATAGTGGCAACTATCATACCCCAAATTTGCTCGCCTTGGTGCCACAATCAAAATTATTTTTAACGTTAGAGTTTTATAAAAATCTTTTAGGTTACCCTGACATTTTTGGTTTTATAAATATTTGTTTTCAAGTCTATTTAAAAATATAATAATTTATTTCAGATTATTTGTATTTTTAATTGTTCGTCTTCATATACGTTCAATTAGCTTTTTATTTCAAATAAATAACATAACACAATTGGTAAGGAACCATAGCTTGGAAGCATAGGGTCACAGGTTCAAATCTCAATTGGTGCATTTTAGATATTTTTGTTTATTTGTTACTAATTATTTCTATTTTTAATTATTTCCAAAATCACAAAAAAAAATCATTTTTTAATATTTAAATATTAATTTTCGTATTTTTTAGTATGACATTTTTAAATATAATTATTTATTTGATTTTATGCACTTTTTAACAAAATTGAATGTAAAAATTAGAATAAATACCAAAAATATTTCCTTTTTTGATTAGTTGTTTTTTATTGGTTAATTGATGTCAATTTGTGTCATAACTAATTTCTGATTGGTCAGTTTATTAACTAAAGAAGATCTGATTTGTCAATCAATTTTATTTTTTTAATTTGTTGACCTAATTATCACTATAAATAAGTAATTCTTTCATACTATTTTTCATCTAGAAATTCACAATTTCACCGTCTCAATCTTTTTCTTACTTATGGTTTATTTCATAATTTCTGAATGGAAATTTTGAGAAATAAATTCAAAAACAACACTATTAAACAATATCAAAACAACTCCTTCACAACCAACAACATTACAATAACACCCTTTGTCTACTTCGGTCCGATTTTCCTTTTATGGTGACAATCGAATGTTTTCTTTCTTTTTGTGATTTAGTATGGATTGATGTTGGTTATGTTATGTTGTTTGGTTTAAATTTAAGTGAAGATAATTGCATTAGGTTTCTAGAATTTGAGACTGAGATTTTGGAAGAGAGCATTTGTTGTTATTGTTGTTCGTGTAGAACCGTGAAAGAGAGAAAAATTCTTTCTTTTATGTTACTGGTACTGTTATCTTGCTACTTTAGTTAGAATTTTGTTTTTTTAAATTTTTTTATTGCCACATGTCAAGTTTCGGATGGCCATGGACTTTTAGTTAAAAAATAATTAATATATTTTTTTTCAACGTGAAGAAGTTGGTTTCACACAGTAGTTGCTTGGTTTCACTTCCACAGAAAAAATACTTGTAATCCTTCTTTTCGAATTTTTTAAGCCTTTTTTCCTAATTCATTTTATTTTGTTTATTAGTTATTATCTTTTATTTTATTATTTTATTTAGATAAATTCTGAGTCTTATGTTGGGCTATTAAGTATCATTTAAGCCTAAGTAATTGTGAATTCTTTTTTGTGAGTCTTAGTCTATTGGATTGGAAAATTAAATTTTTTTTATTTATAAAATATAAAGATTAGTAGTTTGATTAGTTCAAATTTTGCAATATTTAGATATTTATTTTTAGACCTCCATATGTTTTGGGTCCAGTTTAATATCTGAACTTGAGTCATTGGTGAACAAATCCTTCAGATTTATCATTACGTTAGAAATTGTACCCCTAACAAACATTAGGCCAAAATTAAATTCTGAACTTGAGCCATATTATCTACACCCTAGTTATTTACTATCTAGTCTAATTTTGCAACCCCTGGTTTTAATCGATTATTTTATTTTATTTTTGTATTTTATTTATTTTTATATCATAATTAGTATTTTTAATCTATTTATAAATTCTGAAATTATTTCATTATTATTATAAGATT